TGCTCCAATAACATACAAATTGTCTGTTAAAGGACCTATTGAACTAGCAACTGAAAATGTACCAAAGCCACTTATTGGATTTATGAGGGATTGTTGCTTTGCCATTCAGGTGCGTGCTAATGGAATCCCAATAATAAGATTAGATGACTATAACTTAGCTGCGGACGACAGTGAGGAATAAAGGATGAACGTTTATTTTTAAAGCTTATAAATGAGTTCTTCATCAAGCTCTCGCGAACCTTCACCATCTGTGAAACAAACTTTACCAAACGATTATGGAGCAGCTATTGAATATTTCTTACGAGCTGCACAATGGCAAAGAGCAGTCTCACCAAGGTTAGGTGTTCCACCAGCTCCTGTCAAAAATAGCATTTGGTCAAGTCCTTATATAAGATATGGTCTCCCACTAGGTTTGCTAGTTACAGCAGGAGCAGTTATGATGTTGAAAAGAAATAAAGCAAATGTTGTAAATAATACTGAAGTAGCTGAAGTTAAACAAACTCCAACACCTTCGCCAAAACCAACGCCTTCACAAACAACACCTTCAATGACTCCTGAACCTATGGAAGTACAAACTCCTGTTCAAAAGTCAACTCCTAAACCGACTCCAACATTTAAACCAGAACCTACTCCTCAAATAAATCGTAAAACTCCTGCGTTTCCTTACTGAAAAAATAACGTTATTTTTATTTTATTTGAACATTTTATTTAGAGTAAAATGACGACTAAAGTCACTGAAGCAATGAAACAAAAGTTTTTGGTAGAATACATTAAATCAGGAACTATTCCAGAAGGTTTTTACGTTCATACTATGAAGGATGGTAGAGTTCAGTTTAGAAAGATAAAGCAACCATTAGATAAAGAAGGAATTTTGAGAAAGATTAAACTTCATGAGGACAACATTGCTGAACTTAAGAAGAAGCTAGAAGAGTCGGAGAAAGGAAGAGAGTTATAAAGCAATGAATTCAACAGGGTAGAAATGAGGTTAGAAATCGGGTTAGATCTAACCATCTACCCTAAATTTATTTTTATGCTATGTTTTCATACGCGTGAAGGTAGTGATATCATTAATTTTTATTTTATTTTTTATTTTATTTTTTATTTTAATTTTATATAAATGACGAAAACTATTGAGATAACAAAATACAACGGTCATGAGTTCAAGAATTTGTTCTTCGTTCCTCGTGAAAATACATTCTATCAGATACGAGGGAGAAAGGGTAAAGTTAGTTTGAGCGTTTATGACTACAAGCATAATGGAAAGTTTATACAAGCAATAGATACAAACGGTAAGCGTGTTTCATTAGCTTTGTCAAAACTTACATACATTTATTTTGACAGTGATTTTGACCTATATGAAGAAGAAAGTGAGTCAGAAGATTATGAGCTGTTATGTGAAGCACAGCAATGGGAGGAGTTGCAATACTTTTATAAGTGAGAACGTTTATTTTTACAGTAGTGAGGTGAAGTGGTTGGCGGCTTTGTAAATATTTAAGGTTAAGTTAGTGTTGTCGTTTGTGTTGTAAAATATACGTTAACGGTTTTGTAAAGTGTCAAATTCACATATAATGGGTAAGGGGCGCGCAGTGCCTCCGTACCCTTGATATGTATTCTATCTATCTGGGTCCTGGCTGAAACGTTCTCAAAAAGCCTGAGATGGTAATTCTCTGATCACTCATAGCTGGGCAGGTAGTCATTGCTGACAATACCTGTCTTTATGCATGCACGCTTTCATGTATATGGGTTTACACTATCAATTCGCAAAGTTGTTCCGAATTCTTCCAAAATGGAAGGACCCGAAACAACTTTGCTTGTTAACGATACAGACGCATTACTTTGCATTGATACTGTGCTGAGTTGTGTAGAAAGTTTGATTAGAGTTGTTTTGTTCTGGTATCTCTCATCTTCTGATGAGAGAAATCAAAGCAACACAACTCTAATGAGTTTGTTTTCACTCATTTGTATGTAGGTTTTTAGTTCGATTGGAGCTGCTTCATAATGAGATCTCTCATCAATTGATGAGGGAGATCATAACAAAGCAGCTCTAATGTATATGCTCGTATTAACCGGGTTGTAATGCGTTGTAACGTCAGCTTGTAGTTCGTTTGGGGCCACTTCACATTGAGATGAGAAGAAATGATTAAAGGACTCTGAAAGGCTTTGGCCGTTGATGTTGTAATCGCATTACTTGGAACTAGCTGGATGCTAAGCTGTGTAGAATGTTCGATTAGAGCTGTTTTGATATGATTTTTCTCATCATAAGATTGGAGGAATCATAGCAAAACAACGCTAATGGGTTTACCATCATCTACTTGTATGTAGATGTTTGGGAAATTGTCTTGTTAATCGATTTTCGAGATGACTTTCAAATGCTATAATCAAATGACAAACAAGTCTAAGATTTCTCGACAATACATCAAATCATGATGTTTGTAAGTGCGATGAGATTAGAGTTTTTGAAGGAATGACAAGAGAAGTAGGGAAGCTCGGCATTCGCCGAGCAAATTAAAAATTAACGTATGAATTAAATTTTAAGAGGAATTCAATTTTAATTACGGGTTGTTCAAATATTGATTAATATAAATTTATTAATAAGAATAAACAATTTTTGTTTTTGAATTTATTCAATTTATAGCTTTACATATAGTTTCAAAATTGTACAACTATGATTATTTCAATAAAAAATATCTTAGTTTTTCACTTCACTTTCACCCTCACTTTTTCCGTAATTCAAATTTCAACATTATGTATTTTAATTCCTTATAGTATTTTTAACATAATTAATCAAATAATAATTGGAAGTTCTGAACTCACTTTTCCCGTAATTCAAAATCAAAAATATGAATAATATATATTTTTATATACTAATGCTATTTTCAACTAGAAGTGAGGTACGGTAATCTTACGGATTCCCGTAACTCAATTTTACGGAAAAAGTGCAGTAAACTACTCAATTTACGGAAAAAGTGTCGTAAACTATTGATGTGGCGGTAAAATCACGGTAATTCACAGAAAGCTATATGCGAAAATTTGAAATTATACAAAATCGAGCGAAACACTTTTAAATAGGTTGTTCTCGTATTTAAAATACTATTCCCAGATTTATTGTCGTCAGAATATTTCCAAATTTTTGCCGATTTACAAAAAATGATTTACAAAGCATATTTTTTAATCTAAAAAATTCCTAAAAAAAGGAACCGGTGTGCGGAAACCTCGGTAAATTACCGCGGTTCCCGTTGGGACTGCCATAATCAGAGAAGCCCTTTTGACCTATCGTTGCCCTACCTCTCTGTCATTTCTCCAAGACAATTGAATAGATTTTGTCCGAATGTGAACTGAACGTTTTTGATTTTTTTATAAAAAAATACAAAATAACGTATAAATTTTACGGGATTGAATATATTATAATATGAGATATTTAAAAGGGGTGTTAATAATAAATAATAATGGTGCATTTAAAAATTTAAAATCGTTAATTTTTAGTTGACAACCGCTCAAAACTTTACAAAAATCCAAAAAAAAATTTAAAATCAAAAATAGAAGACAAAAAACCTAGACTTCATGACAGTATCGTCAGACAGTGTCTAATGCATAAATGAAAACTCTTTTTGACACACACGTAAAAGGAAAAAAAGAGATCTCACTTCTTCTCATTAAACATCATAGATGTTTCTAGAAAATGGCCAATAATGAAAATTATGAATTTGTTCATATTCAATATGGTAGCACAACTTTTAGATTTCTATCTGAATATTAAAAATTCATATTCGAATTTTAAATAAAAATTTTGTCTAATCAAATACTGGATCGTCATTAATGATTAGAAATGGAGGAGCATCTGGTTCGAATATCGCGTTTTTCTGGTGTCCATCAGTCCAGGTATGAAAGATTGACACAGAGATATTGTTAATAACTATATAGACCCTCATCCGGAACTGTTTCCTGAATATTTAGATATCTTAAATAATTTGTCTGCCATCTAATTAGATGTTTGCATATTTTACAAAATTCCTTCAAAAAGAAACCCATATGGATTAATTATATCAAGTGGCATTACATTATTGTGTCCATCTAAATCCTCGATAAAGGATTGAATAGCAATTTTTCCTAATATAATATTATCGGTATCATCTAACTCTACAAATTTTTTGAAGTATGAAATATTAAAATGACAATGTGAATTTCCATCTAAACATCATTTCTCTTTCACATCGATATTGAGACCTAAGATATTGAATATGTCTGAAAATCTGGTATATAATAAATCACCTTAGCTTGAAACCTAACTTGATCTTTTTACTCGCCTTTGTCCATGATGGCAAGCTAGTAGGAAAGTTATAACCTTCTTTTGTTATAGATGTTACAGGTTCTGTTATCTCTTGCTTGGATGCTGTTTCAAATAGCGAAAAAGATCCAAAATCCATTGAAAAATATATTGAGACTTTTACTAATCGAGTGTTTTTCACATAAATCAAATATATTTCATAAATAAATATTAATTCCCTATGATATTAAAAAGTGTATTTCTTTTCATTTCAAAATTCTAAGAAAAAATTTTTCTAAAATTATTTTGTCGAAAAAAATTTGCGACTATTTTTTTAAAAATTTTTAAATCAATTAATACAACGTCATATTAAAAGTCGTAATGATTTTTTTTATTTAATGCTTTTTGGTCAGGTAAAATTTTGAGAAACTTTTTTTGTGATTGGATAAATCATTTCATTTTTTCGGAAAGGGTACAAGAGCAATGAACAAATACAATTGGGCAATATTCGAAGATACTGAACACATGCTTCACCTTTGTGTTATTGCAAACAAAACAGAGCAAGTCGCACAATTGATTGATCAAGGAGAAGATATTGAAGGATATAATGCATACGGAAATATACCATTAGGTTGACTGTGCTAGAATTCTTCTAGAAAAAGGAGCTAATATCAATGGCAAAGATCAATACGGTAGAACAGCTTTGCTTTGGGCTGTTGATAAAGAAGAAGTTGAGATGGTTAAGTTTTTACTAGAGAACGGTGCAGATCCTAATAAGAAGGATAATGCTAAAACTGTTCCTATAATTGAAGCAGCCAAAAACGGAAACTATGAAATTGCCGAGCTTTTGGTAAACAAAGGAGCAAATATTGATTACTTTGTTACCAATATGAAAACTGCTTTAAATATGGCATTGATGCAGAGACATGAAGATGTTGCCAGATTATTCGTTGAGCATGGTGCAGATGTAAATTTGGCTATTTCAAATGGAGAAACACCATTGATGACAGCTATTGCCAGAAAATACTATGATATTGCCGAAGAAATGCTAAAAAGAGGTGCAAATATCGAAGCAAAGGATAAAGATGGCGATAATGCATTAGCTTTCTGCACCCTAAACAACGATGAGGAAGGATTAACTTTCTTGATCAAACATGGTGCAAATGTCAATGCCAAAGTCAGCAATGGAGATACTCCATTATTAATAGCCTACAAGAAAGGTTTTGGCAGAATTGCAGGTTTACTTCTTATGAATGATACTGATATAGATATTGAAAATGATCAAGGTCACTCAATCATTCTATATCAACTCTATATGAAGAAAAAGCTTCCAGCTACTTGGAAGAAATTCTCTAAAGAACTTGACTCATTAAGGAGCCAAGATTCTGATGACGATGATGATGATGATGAAGAGGATGACTCTGATGACGAATAAGCCTGCAATGATGAAGAAAATTATATTGTATCCAAATATCTTGCATAAAACTAATTTTTACAATCGAAATTTCTTTTCTCTATAATATTTTTATAGGAATTGAAGATTTCTATGCAATGAAAGCTTAAAGCATGGGACTTTCATTTCATAATGATCATTCTCCACAGATTGTTTTCAAATACTGAATAAGTGAAGGAAATGCTTCATGCAAGATGCATTTCCATTTTGGACCACCCTTATCAGTTATTCTCAAAAGATTTCAATCTGTTTCATAGCAATTAATCAAATATCTGTAAATATACTGGATCTGTATTTTTATCTCCTATAATATCAATCTAGAATCTATATAATGAGTGTCTTTTGATCAAAAATTCTTGAAATTTCAAAGAAAAATCAAAAATATCAAGATATTATTCATAGAAAATGTAACGAAAATGACATTCTTGTGATATATGCCTAGAACACGTTAATTATAAAAAATAGAAAAAATTTGATGATTTATCAAAAATCATCATAAAAACTCATGCTTTTCGACATGAGGCGCATATGTATCGCAACTAAAGTCAAAGGGTGTTATGAGTAAATACTTATTTTGATATCTAGTCTATAATTCAAAATAAATTTTTTCAACAGATAATATTCTCAAAAGGAATATTCATAGCATTTATATCGTTTTTTGGCAGTTTTTACTCCTATTCAACTTTTTTTCCCGAATGATTGTATGTCTTTGAATAAATTTCAGTGAAGCAAATTACTTTTTTTTTGAAAAATTGAAAAATACGATTATATGTGTTGAAAGTCATTTCTCAATAACCAGCATATTTTTGATTCGAGTTCGAGTATCATTGGTGAAGATACATCTATAGAAACAATAAGAATTACCGAAAAAGTGACAAAACATCAAAAACAGGGAGGGGGTCTCAATTTTTATTACTTATATTATTTTACAATATTTATATAAATACTCTTTATAATATATTTTACTATAAAATTATACCTCAAATTCAAATATTTAAAATATTATTTACATAATTATCTCAAAATTATATTTTTATATATTATTTTTCATATGTATAAATCATATAATCTATATCTATGCAAATCTCATCTAAATTTTTTTGAAACAAACCGCTACCATTTTATAATGGTCCATCTTAAATTCATCATAAATTCTGGTACATGTTAGTACCAGAGTCTTCAAATCTCAAACACTCTGGTACCAACATGTACCAGACGCGAGTTTCCAATGCCTCGTACGATTTTCTATTAAGATCTTCTTGAATGAGAAGGTCTTCATAGAAACTCGTACGAGGGCTTCTCTTTTAAATACTCTGGTACCTGCTGGTATCGGAGTCGACTTTACAGCCCTTTCCCCAATTTTGAAGCTGGGGAAAGTTTTCAAGCAATGAAAGGGAAGCTCTCGCTATGAGGTGAAAATCTAGAATTTTTACCTCATAGCGAGTAATCCTTTGTTAATTGCTTGAAAACTTTCTTCAAATTATCAAAATTTCGAGGAAAGTTTCCTTGCTTCAAAGTAGAGATGGAGCCCTTTGAGCCACTGCATATAGGTCAGTGACTCAAAATAATCCATCTCTACTAGAAATCGCCAAAATTTGGGTCGCAATCTTTGAAATGCGACGCAAGTTTGGGCAATTTCGCGAGGGACTTGCTCCATTTGGTGCATAGATTCACACTCTATGCACCAGATGGAACAATTCTTTCGCTGACAGCGGGAAACTTTGTCTGAATAGTTTAACATTCAGACAAAGTTTCCCGCTGTCAGAGAGGGAATGGAAGGGTAAGAGGTATATATTCATAATGTATACCTCTTACTCTTCCATTCCCTCAAGAAAGTTCAAAACTTGGGTGCAATCAGAACTGATTGCACCCAAGTTTTTGAACTTTATATAAGGAATTGTTGGCTATGATGTACTGATTCATGATCAGTACATCATAGCCAACAATTCCTTCGCAAACAGTGGGAAACTTTGTCTGAATAGTTTAACATTCAGACAAAGTTTCCGCTGTCAGGAGGGAATTAGAGGGTGGGAGATATATAGATAGACTATAAATCTCTCACCCTTTAATTCCCTCAAGAAAGTTCAAAAACTTGGGTGCAATCAGTTCTGATTGCACCCAATTTTTTGAATTTTGTATAAGGAATTGTTGGCTATGATGTGGATAGCCGCTGCCAGACCAAATGAATTAACCGTTGTGAATAACGTTTCTGAATCTTTATTTAAAAAGATAAAATATCACGATTTTGGCTGCGTTAAAAATCAAAGAATTGATGTTTTTTGTCAAAAATCTTTTAGAAGAAGTTGCACCCAATTACTTTTATCGTATTAAAAACGATTTACTTCAAACAGGTTTTATTCCTTCAATTAGAATTCGCGAGCCTCGATTGACAGATTATAAAACAAAATTGAAAAGAGAAGTTCAATCACGTTTATACCAAGTATTAAATTTTGTTCAGAATCAAGAAGCCAATTTGAATCCATTAAGATTTTTATTGGAAAATGCTGAAGAAAAACTTTCTCAAATAAATGAGAAGATACAAAATTCAATTACATATTTAAGATCGTTTGAAATTCCAAATGAATTGTTAGATACGTATATGTTAGAAATTAATGAATTTTGTTATAATTCTCCAGATTATATTTTAGAACATTTCGAAGAATTTTTAGAGGATTTCAAAGAAAAGAATAATTTAATAGACTAAAAAATTTATTATTTTTATTTATTGTGAATTTTAAATTGTCACTTTTTAAGTGTTACTCCCTATTGAAAGTGTCACTTTTTGGGTGTCACTTTTTCGGAAATTCTTATATACTCTACATCTATAATTACCCTTAAAATCAAATGAAATCCAGAATATCCAACCGGATCAAAGAGCTTCACTAATGCATTTTTTTGGCTTTCTAAAAACGTGACAACCTTTCAAGTAAAATAATTTTATTTTCGACAAAAAAAGTTACTTACAATGAAAATATCATTGTACAAAGATCCTTCAATTCATTCGATCTAATTGAGGAAAAGAAATAAAATTAACATAGATATTGATACTTTATCAAGAATTGATTAAAGCCCTCTGAATACATTGTTTCACTTCAACAGATTCTATCAAAACGTATGAACGCTTGGCTTGCTAAATCAATTAGAAGGATTACTATCATAGACTTTACATATTCTTGTGATTACAAAATCAAATCAGGATAGAATATACAATCACGAGTTCTTGTACATTGCCTTTATTTTTAAATAAGATCGATATAACAACTATAATTACCAATAAAGAAAATATTAACTTATGAGATCTTTTAGGATTTGCCTTTATCCTACGAAAACTGTTTCTTGAATCCGATTCTAAAACGTTTATTATTATAATGTCATATCTATCTCTTATTTGGTGCAGTCTAATATAATGTTTTTTTTTATTATTATTTAAGAATATAGTTTAAAAATTAAAATGATTCCAAAAAGTTCACATATTCGATAAATCGATGCTTTTAATTCTTGATAATTTCATTTCGAATTTAACAAATTAATAATAATAAAAGCCCAAAAGTATGGATAATCTACGGGAATCTAATAACATTAATTAACAAGGCATCTAAATTTAACATATTTTTAGTTGTTTCAGATTATCTCAAGTATTTCTAAGAGACGTTTCTTATCATAATAAAAGTTTGGATATGATTAAAATTAATAAATATTTTGGCTCATAGAGACACCCAATTTCTAACAAATATTAATAAATTTTCCCATTAATATGTTGACAAACAATATACACTGTAAATGGACCAATATAAAACTTAAATATAATGCATTTCCCTCATTTATATGAAGTTTTATAACAAATCATGCTATGATTATTAAAATTAATTATTTTCCAATTAAAATGAGATCACAAAATCCATTGTCTAAATGTTGGAAATTCTTTTGTTTGACTAAATGCAAAATATCAATTTGATATTTTTTTTTCTTAAAATATGGATTGCTTTTTCGTAAGATACCATGTTCATATGATAGTTATTAATTTCTCAATAATAATAACTGTTTTTAATTGATTTTTTTTGTAGACTAAAACCAACAATCAAGAACAATTATTCGAGAAAGGGACAGACTAGCCCATTGTCACTTTTTAATTTAGCAAATGAACGCTTATGGAGTGGAGTTTTTGGGTAAATCTGATTTGCTTATAAATGAAATAAAATCAAAAGAAACCATATTGGCATTATATTATGCAAAAATAAATGATCTTACTTAGTACTTTTAAAGTTAATTTCAGAAAAAATTTGACACAATGGTATCCGGCACATACAAGTGGTGTACAACCAAAATATAAGTTGGTTTAAACATATATTGCTATATCTCATGATCTTACTTAGTACTTTTAAAGTTAATTTCAGAAAAAATTTGACACAATGGTATCCGGCACATACAAGTGGTGTACAACCAAAATATAAGTTGGTTTAAACATATATTGCTATATCTCATGATCTTACTTAGTACTTTTAAAGTTAATTTCAGAAAAAATTTGACACAATGGTATCCGGCACATACAAGTGGTGTACAACCAAAATATAAGTTGGTTTAAACATATATTGCTATATCTCATGATCTTACTTAGTACTTTTAAAGTTAATTTCAGAAAAAATTTGAAACAATGGTATCCGGCACATACAAGTGGTGTACAACCAAATCTTCGACTCGATGAACTTGTCATCGAGTTATATTCCAGTGTTGTTCCTTCATTCCTGATTAAGTGCAAATTAAAGGCTTGGATTCAGAGAGAAGTGTTAAAGTTATCAAAAAAGTCACAAGAGATTTCGAAAAATGACACAATTTAAAAAAGTCGAATGCATCAGTATGCTTGAAGCTGTTCAGAAAGGTCCGAAAAATGATACACTTGATCCCAACATTGTTTACTCAACATTAAAAATATTATTGCAAAGAAAACATTTGATTTAATAAACATTTAATTTATTATAATTAAT